AATATCCGGCTATGATGCAGAATATAAAAAAATATATCTTAACAACCTGCACAATATCATGTTTCCGTCTTCGTCGGAACGAAAAGTAAATCGGCAAAATAAATAAATAATTTTCCTTTTAGAGCCACTTTCATATCTAACAAGTAATTTAATAGGCGAGTGCTTGCATATTGTCATCACAATAAAGCAGCGATAAGAAAGAAAACAGCCTTCATAATTAAAGGGAGAGCTTTATTTAATTACATTTGATACTTTTTTAGTACGCTAAACGCCCGGCGTAAATTACAGCTCAGTTTTATTACATTTTGTTGTTTTTTGTTACTTTAAATATCAATATATCAAATTGATCATATTTTTTAGGTTATTTTAATATATGCCACGAATTTCCTAAAGATTTAAATAGAATTCACGGCCGTCAGTCAATTTGTATTGAATAAAATTTTTAGTTAAAACGTCCTTACATTCGACGACCTAAATTTAGGAGTTCATGTTAAGGCGTGTCTGCATGCGCTTGAATGGATGAATAGGAAATTGCAAGCAGCATGTCATTGGCAACCTGTGCTTTCGCATAGTGACCAAAGTTTACATTATCGTCTTTTAGTTACTCAATTTTAAATTCCCATGCATTTATGTAACATTAGTTACAAATCTGGTATATACTCATAGCAAAGACGTGATGTTTTAATTACTTTATAATTTTAAAATTATATTACTTAAAACAGCAGTTATAAAACGATCAATTAAGAATCATTTTAATATTGCGTTAAGCGTTACAAGTTAAACATATCATGGTGTTTGTAAGTTCTAAAAATGTAGTTAGAGTTGCCAGATTATCAAAGCAAAATAAACATTTTATGAATTTTCACTCAGTTTAAGCTTTAAGTAAGTAGTTATCAAAAATTCAAAAATGCCCTTTAGAGTCATTCATTAACACACATTTAATTTAAAGTTTTTTAAGCATCCTCTATTGTTCTAAAAGCTACGAACGTTCCAATACGCTCATACTTATCTGCAAACCACAAACCATTACATCAACTGTTTGCACAATTAACTACGAGTAGGTACTATTGTGAAAACGAATATAATTTTCAAATAAGTAGTACACTCATTGGTTGCTTGATATATATATATATTGACATATTATGTCGCTGTTACTTTATTATTCTAAATACATATCGTATTAAAATCATATAAAAAGCACTTTCTCAAGAAAGAACATCGACGTCACTCAGCGTCAAATAAAATAGAAAGGTGGTGTACAAAATTAATATTTTATGCCATATCTTTCATAAATTCAACTGTTGGTTAATTATGGGTTTTATTTAATACTTTCTTTTTTTATTTGACATATGAATTTGATTGTTGTTATTTGCCTTATAATTCTTCTTTTTTCGTTGTTTCTTTTTTATTTTACCAACTTCTTTAATTACTCCCTTATTTCTAAATTAAATACTATTGTCACCAAATTAAAAAAATACATTTTATTACATGCCGTCACTTTGTGGTTTCAAGCGAGAAGCCACTGATTGTGATGAAACCTTTGCAGTCCATTGTTTATACAGAAAAAGCAAAACAAGCACCTATCTACAAATGAACGATTGCACTTACACGTAACCGTTGAAAGCTTTAAGTAAACCGAATAACAAAGCTTCATTCTGTTTCTCACATTTTATCGTAATTAAAAGTGGGAAAGCTGTTTCAACTTACTATAGATCAGTCAGTTATTATCAGTCACTTTTCTTCACAATCCTAAATTCTAATACCTCTAATATATCTTGAAATTTAATCCTAAATATTTCCTGCAAAATTATAAAAGTTAAATTTTAAAACATTATTACGTGTATGCAGCTCTTTTTAACATCCCACTGTCGGGCACGGCTTCCCTTCAATACGAGGGCGATAAGGCCCTAGTCAGAAGTGTAGATTGGCGGACTTCAGATATCTTTCAAAAACCTGCTAGATTCTTTCAGATATACAGGTTTCATCACGATGTTTTCCTTTACCGTAAGATATAAGGTAATCAATAATCATGTTGGAAATTATTCGCACTTGAAAATATCAGAGGTGTGAGATCTGGGATTTTAACCCACTTCACTCGGTTTCCCAAGCGAGAGCGTTACCACTTCCTACATTATTAAGCAAAATTATATTTGTACATTATGCATCAAAATGTATAGTCTTATTAATTTATAAGGAATTAATAAGATGAAGCTAAATGGCAAAATAATCTCAGTGTATTGTAAGTAAATGAACTTCCAAAGATAATCTTCATTTACATTTAAAATGCTAGCGGCGGCACTGATTGGAACAAATTTAACCATTAATTAAGTTTACTTTATTTCAATAAAGCCAGTCTGATTCCTTGTTAATTGCCAAGCACAATGAAGTGAAAAATCAGATGCAACTGAACTGAGCTACGGGATGCAAATTTACAGCCAACAATAAGCGAACTTAACAAAAATCAATTTATAAAATGGCGATACCCGATTTTTATAACACATTCTAAGTAATTCTAAGTATATCTGATATCACTAGTTTGTCCGTAAAATATTAAATTATCTATAAAACATATTAACTCACATTTGCATACGTCAAATATAATCTATGCACATTTCATTGAAATATGCCCCGTTTTAAGTGTTAAAATTGTTTACTATTGAAGCGCTTGACCGCTTTTAATTGTTCTATTTAAATACTCAGATGAATCATTAAGCCTTTGGCTCTTGATTCAAATTTCCATCGCACTCCCCACTCATGGTAATTAAAAACGCATTTATGTTCGGTTATTGGATCTACGCGCCACTTCACTACGTATTATCCCGATTGCGTTTCGCCAGGGTAAATATATCGATGTCGCTTGAGATTATCTGCTTTGAAATTATCACAGTCAATAAATGACCGAATTCTAAAGTAACAAACAAATACAGCTGAATTGAAACCTCCTCCTTTTTGAACTCGGTTGAAAAGATAACAAACAACCAGACTGACAAAATTACTTTGGAGATTAATATTTTTATTGCATTATCTTCAGCCATCTTAAATTTTGTTAAAATAATAAAATATTAAAAAAAGCGTATACCCTTTTTTTTAATAAAGAGAGGAGGCAAAAGACATCATTTTCAAATCAACAGATTTTTTTGTTTCTGTAGCTGTCCTTACAATCCCCACATTGCCGCAACAATCTTTAATCTAGGGTGGGCAATATTCTAAAGCATGTGATTTGCAAACATCACGCAAACGATGTATGTACGCTACGATAAGACTTCTCGTTTTATTTCAACTCAATATAAGGGGAGCTCTACGATTTCAACGTTCTGCCTGCCCCGCGAGCCGTATTGGCGCCGCATAGTTATGCAAGGTCATCGTAATCAACTCTAGGCGCTTTATAATTCATAAATTTAAGAAATATTCTGTATTACAAACACAGCAATATATCTCAGAAGATGATATTTCTTTATTAGTATATAGATAGATTTCATGTAAATCCATATTTGCATACTTTAATATCATAAATGTGAAAGTGTGTTTGTTTGTGTATTTGTTTGTTTGTCCTTCTTTCACGTCGAAACAGAGCGACGGATTGGCGTGATTTTTTGTGTGGAGATAGTTGGAGGACTTGAGAGTGATAGCTACTTTTTACCGGGGAAGATTAACTCATTCCCGCGGAAAAAACAAATACAACACAAAAAATTATTAATGATCAGAATTACTTTAAACTTGGTATTAATACTCTTCAATACCATTAAATAAATACGTGTTTTAGCATCTTTGACATTCATCACATAAGGGAGTAAAATAGGTGATGAAAGTATGCATGACACCTACCTTTTCAGAGTTTTTTTTTGCAGTTTTAGCGCGATCGAAGCCGCGGGTTCTGCTAGTTAAAAATAATTTTGAGCAATATGGTTAAAAATTGAACTCATTCACGATTTCCGGCGGCGCGGCGACATTTCCTGTAGACTAGGTCGACGTCCCAGCTCGCAAGGCCCCTTAGCGTTTTAAGATATTTCGCGCACCATTTTTATTTCGACGTAATTCCGTTTTCAATTTCTAGCGAACGTCGTCGGTGAGATTGGCGCGTAAAACTCGCGTAAACATTCGAGCGGTTGCAGAACGGTTACTCCCATAGTAACCGGTTTATGCCATTGCAGAGTGTAAAGAGATAAGGTTCTTTATGTGTGTAATCATTTTGTGTTACGACGGACTTCGTCGCTCGTGAGTGTTATTAAGGCGTTCCCATCCCTCAACTTTTATGCTGTGATTTTTAAAGTGTACAATGTAACTACACGGGATTTAAAGTTGATGTGCTAATGCGTCGAGGAAAATATTACGCTTAAACGTTACAAATATTTATATGTTAATAAAAAATCCCATTAAACACAAATAAAATTCGCGAACAGCTGCGTATTTAAAAAACCGGTCAAAACCTAAGAAAGCTGTTTCTTTTATTTGATTCAGTCTATATGACTTATTTAATATTTAGCTTTTCTATTTTCACCATGCGCGAGTCAGTTCTATGGATCGACACTGTGTGATTACGAATTTAAGCGAACGCAGCTAATATGAATGACAACGGGTCGACCTACTCGACATTCATTTCCCCCGACGCACCTCTCTTATAATAACTTACATGGTAACATCGCCTTAAGATACAAATATATATGTAGCATGGGACGGTAGGGATGCGGAACGCGCATAAGCTGCTAAAGGTACTCTACAAAATATAATTGAATTTGCAACGATAGCAAAATGAAATAAATAATTCGATGAATCCTCATGGTACCGAAACACCTTTTTACAACGGCCTACCATATAGTCAGACTTTGAATAGAATAAAATTAGAGGCCAACAACAATTTTCGGCATTTGAATTGCTGAGCTCCAAATTCTTTTATACATATCTGATGAAGGTGCAGGCTTTGGCGCTCTATAATCCAGATTCGACCCTTGAATGCGAGCGAACGAGCGGGTGGCCGAGGTTCTAGAGTGGCCCTTCAATCAGCCCTTCCTTGCGGGCATGCGCGGGGGAGGAGGCACGCGGAAGGGGTGCGGGACGGGGGCGCCACGAGGACCTTTGAGTTCAGACTCTTTGACACGAGCCACTGGCGTACTCTTCAAGTAATGATTCATTCTGCTGATGACTGACGCGGCTAATGCGACCGTTTCCCCCTCTATAATATTTGGTTAAGGATTAAAGGTGCGGTCTCTTTAATTTTATACACTCTTCCTTTCTTTTTGTGATACGCCTTTTTATTTCTACACATTTTTGTTTGATGCTATCCTTCTTTATTTAGTATAGTATTATACTAATTCTTACTTCTAATTATCAGATGTTATGTAAGCAAATTCACGTCATGTTGCACATGATAGAGCCCGCAGAAATATGGGCAAAATGTACGCATCGCCGTAGCGATTGGCGGCAAAGCCCACCATTGTAGTCAAAATCCGCCAATTATGCAAGACAATGAACGGTCTCTTGTCATTGTCCCGTATATAAATCCATAATAATCAATATCAGAAATTATTTACATTATATTTTTCAATATCACAATTACTGAACTATTCATATAAAATATTTTTATAAAAGTGAATATTCTATCATACATTTCCAATATTACTATTTTCATATATAGTGGAGTCATCGTCAATAGAATATAATATATTCAGTTGGTAGAAGCATGGAGCTACGGCGGGTCGTTATCATGTCAAAGAAACTATCATATTACCGGACTCAAAGATCGCGGTTTGTTTGATGTCAGTTATGGACGATAGATTTCACTGAAATTGTATTACAATGGCGTAAGTAGAAAATAAATAAAAAATAGATATTTGAATAAGATATATATTTGATAACGCTGTAATAGTAATCATGAAGAGCAAATATTAAATTCTCCGAAAATTTACGAATTCCTAACAAATCCTGTAGTATAAATATTCTTTAAAAGTTGTAAAGTGCAAGTTGAAGTTAGTAACACATGAAGATTTGACTTATTCAAAGTATTGTTGGTCTCCGAGTATGTAAATAAATTCTTATATATGGACTAAATCCTTCTTAAAGTGGCCGCTATTACGTGCAGTAAAAGTTTCATTCGCAGCTATAGCTTCTTATTCTGCACACAAAGCTTGACTGCATCACTGCATATCAATGTATGAAATAACGTTTTCTTAATATTGTATATCTTGAAAGAGGTCGGAGTTTATGTAAATTGTAATACATGCTCTGAATATTATGTTTTATGTAAAACTTTATTATTATGATCTTTTTTACGTTAGCCATATCTTTATTATTTACTAGAGCTCCACCCAGACTTTGCAAAGGTGTTTCTTTCATTAAGCACTGTACTTTGTGTTCTTTCTTTATACATGCACTAGCCACTTACCCCCGTTTCGCTCAGGTCATCCCCTTAGGTACGTTTTGACGCTTAATAAATTTTTTCGTGAATTTTCCCAATGTTTTAATAGTTAATCTCTTAATCGGGGTCCAAATACGACAAAACAAAGATCAAAAAATCGGACCAGCAGTTCTCAAGTTATAAGTGTTATAACAATCCCGAATTTATTTTAAATATATATAGAAGATAGATGTATAGTGTATGACAACATAATAAATATTACAAAGATATAGACAAAAATTTGCCTTACTTGGTCTTAACTTTTATTTTAAAAAATCGTATGAAATTTAAAGTCTAAATGTTTCTCCATACATTTTTCCCTCTCAATCTTAACTCACGAGATCGATATTTGAAAATAATAAAAACACATTGTATTTTATTTCTTTTGAAGTCGAGTTCATTTACGAAAAGCCCCATAACAGAAATGACCTAACCTACCTAAAATAATAATATTACTTTATATAATTATTTTATTACATTGTTTTATTCTCTAAAAAATGGATTGTCAAAAAAATCTTTATGCAACGTTATTTAGAAAATATTTTTCTAAAATCTTTAAACACATGCGTGAAGCCTGCGCTTGGCTTCAGTTATTCAGTCAAGCATAATATTCATTTATAGATATAGAAGTAGTATAATTGTACGTAACCTTTGCAACATTGTATGCAGATTACTGTTTCAGGACAAAAAGTTAACTATAGGTATTTTATCTTGCATTAAAATATCATATTTCATCCCAATATGATAAAATCCCTTTAAATTGTAGGTTCTAATACAAACAAATCCTAAAAAAAAAAATACTAAATTTGGCAAAGCCCTTAATGAACTTTAGCAGCAGAAGTATTAATTTCACAATTAATAATTGTGAGTAATTGCGCTCGAATTTAGTCAGACATTAACATTTTAAATTATATTTATGTTTATTTTTTGAGTACGGTTTCCGCCTCAATTCTAATTGTTATTAACGGTGTATAATGATGTATGAACATTAAAATTAATAGGGTAGCCAGATTTGTTTAATCTTGATACATTGCTGTTTGTATAATTTGAGTTGACTTAAGTTGTGTTTTATTTATTTAAAATTTTTTTTTAATATAATCCCGTTTACCTAAATTGTGTAAGATTATTCAAAAGAAGTTATTGGAAAACCTTTAAATACCGTTCGATAATTAGAATTCCTTTACATTTATATAAATGGCAAAACAAATATAAAAAAAAAATTAAACGCAATTATCTACATTTAAGTAAATACTAAAACCACAGATCATATTACTACTAGCATTGGCCGCGACTCCGCCCGCGTTATTATGATCAAAACCAAATTCTTAGGTTTTATATATTAGTATACTCGTATTAGTATATTAGTTGACCCGGATAACCAGCTTTTACCATACCAAATTTCTTTAATATCCCTCCAGTGATTTTTCTGTGATGCGGTCACAGACAGACACACAAAAATTCTTAAAACTATAGGTTCGGCCTCTGTTAGCGATAATAATGTGTATTTCAATAAGGTTTTCCAAAAAATATTAAAGCACAGATACTGCTTCATTAATTTTTAATGTATCTATAGAAGTAACTAATTTATAAAGCCAAAAATATTGTTTTTTGATAAATTAAACACGGGCGGGGCCGTAGGTAATTTTGTAGTAATTCTAATAAAATCATAGAAACGTCGAATTTGTACATTCAATTTTTTGAAATTAAAAGTACGTATTTTAAAGACACATGGCGATCTATTGACAAATATCTAAATAATACAAAAAATAATTTAATTAAAATATTTTTTTTAATGAATAAAATAGTGCTATTGATATACTTTTTCAAGATTAGTTATTTTTAAGAGTTTTTGACATATTTAGTAAGTTAACTTGCTAAAATCTATATAGTATCATCGTTTTTTATTCTAACCAGTTTTTGTATTTTTTCTCAGAAATGAGATCTTTTTCTGCGCTAAAAAGTATCCTATATATTGACCCGGATAATCAGCTATGACCATACCAAATTTCATTAAAATCTGTCCAGTAGTTTTTCTGTGATGCGGTAACAGACAGACAGACAAAAATTCTAAAAACTATAAATTCGGCCTCTGTATCGATAATAATGTCTATTTCAATAAGATTTTCAAAAAAATATTTAATGATTTGACTTAGAATTTTATTATATGTATAGATACTCTAAAGCTTAATCAAGGGTAGCTTGATTCCACTATGAGGATAAAGTTTTTATATCACTACGTATATTTCCATGGAAGTTTTATACAATAATAAATATATTCTTATTATTGTATTTACAATATTCATCTTAAATATTACAATATCAATTATCATATTATTTAACCCTGTTAATATCAAAATTATTTCTGTTACAGGTATGTCAATTTTCTTCCCATAATAATTTTATTATTTCGGTAAGTCAATCATTTTAAAATTTTATTTTTCAAGGCAGTAAAGTTAAATCTTTGAAGGGCAATAATAAAAAGGCAATTAACTTAAATTCTTCTATTAGCAGTATTAAGTAACTAGTAGAATAAGTTAAACTGAGTAGAAAGAACAGATTAAAACTTAACATTAAATAATTTAATTAGGTGTATAAATATTATTAAATAAACTTTATTCGTATTATTACTTTATAAGTTACAATTTCTATAATAATCCATCATTGTAAAAATTGACGAAGACATAAATACATACATAAGCGACCCATTTTAAAGTAAAAAATCTATTTTGTATAATCGAGCCACAGGGCTCAAAGCGGTCACAGCACGCAAACGCCTTTAGCCGATTAGCTTTTACCAGCCTTGTAAGCTATAGTGCATTATAAATTGAGGCCAAATGGAGTCCCTTGGCCCCAGTACATTAAAGAATTAACCTTACAACCGCAGGTCAAGTGCTTTTGAATATCGATAAACGTGCATTCTTCAGTAATATCCATGAATATTTTATGTAAGCTTTTTCTAAAAGTTGTCTATAAACATATATAATCTATAAGATCTAAGTAATATTATTTAGCACTGTCTTTTTGTTATAATTTTATCCTCACTAATGATTACTTCACGGAATAAAAGATAAGATCAGTTTAGGATACTCCATAAAATTCAGGATGCAATGTTAAATAAAATAAACAAAATCAAAAGTTAATGAGATTTATTACTTTTCATCAAATGTTTATTATTGAACTTTAATATATAAATTCAAACAAGAATGATTATAGCATTAAATGTGTGACTACGATTCTCTACAATATATTCGTATTATGTTTCAAGAACTCTTCCATAAAAATGTAGATATAAGAAGGAACTCTAGAAAAAAATCTTATGCTTTTTAGATATTTAACAATATAATTACTCACGTAATACCGTAATTACAACGTACTTACTTAAGTAATAACATAGTTAGCTTCGTAATATCTAACTTTATAAGATACTTACGAAATAGTTAAGAGTTACCTACGCTAAAAGGTGATCTAATCCGACTTTGGAGTCTCTATGAAGGGATGATTTCGAAAAGAGAATATAATATAAATAAGAATCACGTTTGCAATAAAGTAGAAAAGCATTCTTCACACGTTTTAAGGATCATAATACGCTTAGACTCACTTGACTCGATTATTCGACCAAGATTTCATTTCCATTATTAGCAGACTTATAAAACTTGAAAGATATACAATATTTTTTTACATTTTAATTAAGATCCTAAAAATAACTATAATTTAAGATAACAATTTATAATATAGGTACTTTTGCAAAATACGTAAACAAATCAAAAATTAAATCAAACAAATATTAATAATAAGTTTGTTCAAACGATGCATCAATATTGCTTAATACATAAATAGCTCTATATAAATACTAACTTAATTTAAATTATACATCGAAATTAACATTTACTGTTTATGAAAAAGCGATTTTTATATAAAATAAAACTTCACCAGAAGTTGGATACAACTATAATATATGTACTATTGCTATTTCAATATCTCATATGAATTTTGAGAAAGAAATATCCTTTTGATTGTCCGAGGACAAGATAAAGTCACGATGGAAATACATCATAAAATGTTTTGCTCCAAAAATCAGGATAAAATTGTTATTTAAGTTAAGAGTTATTTAAGTGGCTGTTGGTGTTTTCCCGAACGAAGATTATGCAACCGGAGAATGTTTCGTGCAATAATGATAATGTGTCTCGTGACACAAAGTAACACCATCTTATTCAAAACATCTATTTCCTTAGGATTCACATCTCACTGAAAATATTATTATATATATTTCATCGGCATTCCTTGCTCAGCTATATGTAGAAGACCTTATAAGAAGTATTGCGCTATTAAATATAAAATTTCTCTGTCGGCATCTATACATACATATAATAAAATTGTTACTGATCCCTGTCTGTAAATGGAAGATATTTGAGAAAAACGATTATCGGGGGTTTTTATTAACGCAATAGAACCCAAAATAATAATTTTTCTTTTTTTTCTTTTTGTCTATTTGTCGGTGCGTTTGTGCACGCTAATCTCAGAAACGGCGTAACCGATTTGGGTGCGGTTTTTACTAACATATTGTGGTAAGCTTAACTTAACATTTAGTATAAAAAAGTTACACCAATTTAAAGAATCACCAAAGAATCACGAACAGTACTTAATATTTTAAAATAATAGAAGAAACAAAGGGAAAAGATTCTGTTATTAAACGAATTTTAAACACTAAACCATCATAGAGCTTTCCTACATTACATGCATCTATATAATGTTTATATCTACTTGAAGGTGGTATCGCCGTAATCTATGAGACAATCAATTATGCAATAATGTTGGTATATTGTAATTCAATAATGCATTGAACAATATTGTGATATGAGGTGATGATTGATATGCGTTTTGCACCGCCCTTATTTGTTTGGATAGCTCTATTAATTGACATCTCTTGCACTTGATTAACCATTTCATTGTCTTAACATTTAAATAATCAACATTTTCTGTTAAATATCGTATTGGACAAATAAATAAAATGCTAACCTTTTTTAAAATACTACATTGCGGCTCTCCCATGCCCCTTTAATATAAAAAATCTAAATTACACGCGAGAATGTCTGTCTTAAAACTATGCCAAAATGCGTATATATTTTTTTATATTCTTAGTGCCCTTTATACTTGATTATGTTATAGATTTTAGTTCTAATTACTACTCGCCATTGCCTCGCGTATCGCGCAACGTCTATAATGTACCTTCTTTCTCATTTTTTGTCATATTAATGTCTTCCAAACAAATTTTTATGGCAAAATTATCAAGAGTATTAATAGCAAGCTTTAAATAACTCTCCGCAGAAAAGCGTTATAGCCCATTAAAATATTTGTCACCCCTTTTACCCTTAAGGATCGAATCTTGATGATCGCCGAAATATTTCTTTTATTAATTACATCAATAAGTTTATATATTAATGAGACTTAATCTTTAAGAATCCTGACAGAATCGAATATTTCCCATCCCTTTTCTAAACTAAGAAAAGAATATAAAAAATGGTTATTAATAATCATTAATATATATATATATATATATATATATATATATATATATATATATATATATATATATAATTATCTATAAGCATTAATTCCAAGTCGTACATAATATAATTGTGGCTAGGAAAATAAATGACATCCACTACCTATATTTTTAAATGTATTTCATGGTTGCTTTTATTTTAAATACTTATACTGTCAAAATTCTGTCTGTCTCTAAAGTGTAATAAAAGTTTTTACTGTAAAGTAAAATTTAAATCTTTAAAAATGAATTCATTTTAAAAGTTACGTTTGCTAGCTGCTCTCTTGCTCAGCTCCTTGCTACGACACGGCGCGGCGTAGCAACGAAGTCTGCGGCAGACTAAATGCATTTTCATATTATGATATAATATATGTACTACGGCTACGTGTATCGTTTTAACTATAATTTTGACTCTAACATTGTTTTATTAAAAGTCATTTGATATTAAATACTTTTTGACTTTCCTATCTTTCTTCTTGTTTGTAATTATTTATTCATGTTTAGCTGTATAAATGTTTGCTAGATTATGTTTCTCCGCTACACGCGGGCGAAGTTGTAGTGCAATAATTTGGAGTTATTTGCGATGTGGCCATTAGCGTGTTAATTATTCAGTTTTCAACTCGGTCTGTGCTCGCTGATACTGCTCCTTGCTTCGTTTGTTGGTCTTACACGTTTCATATTGTTTTACGTTTTTTAATTTTACTTCTTTCAACAATTTTAAGAGTTTTAAGGTTATAAAATGTAAATCTGGAGATTTATCTTATTTTATAACACAATAAACTGATTTAACATATAAAATTTTATAGTAAATCTTTTATAAATATTATAGTTTGTTGATCGTAACATTAGTACCATATTCATCGAAATTTGTATCGACTTGTATTCGAGGTTTACTAACTCCGCCGACTGTGATAATTTATTTACATGTAACTCGTCCCACAACTTAGATTGGACTTAAACGAGTATGTTGTGAGCGAGTATTATGCTTAATGAAGTTAAACACGTCCTAAACAGGAAACTTGACAGACTCCTCGCAGTACAATGCGACCCAACAATTTGGGTATATCTGAGTTCCTGAGGTGGCAGACTTTGAGAGAATAACATAAGGAAAATCTAAATTAGTTTATATCTGTGCTATTTTGTGTCGTTTGTTGGATTTTATTCTGTAAATGTAAAAAAAGTGTCTCTTTTTTCTTAGTGATCATCTTACATTGATAGTCAATAATTAATTGAGACTTTATAAATATACATTGATAGCTATTCCATAGTTATAACAAATAAAGAAATAGAAATTTATTATTTTTATCATATTAAATTCTAATTTACTATTAAGTACATCTATGTACTGTATATATTAAGTATTACATTAAAAATAAGTTAACTTAGTATTTTGAATTTCTATTTGTACACAAAATATATTATATTCTGACATTTCATGCCGGCTATATTTACCCAGACTTAATATTAGCTCTAGAAACAAGTCATAAACCGCGTAATAATATATGAGTAGTGGCCGCAAACGTTATAAATGTAAAAGTACAGTATAAATTGATAGTTTTACGTTTATTTTACTGTAATAGTTTGTAAGCACATCAGGCTAACTACATTTGAACGTAGAGCGGATAGCTAAAAGGCCATTACAGCTAAGGGTATATGAATTATTTGTACATACATGAAGGACATGCGACGAAGTAATGGGGTTATGTGTCAGGTACGGTCCCATTCTCCCTTAATAGCAAAAACGCAACATAACTAAGTCTTACTTTAATATAAAGTAAATTAAAAAAAAAACAAATTACTTAAACATACTCAACTGTTACTTTAAATTTTTGTATTGCGATCATAACTTTAAGCGTCATTTTGTTTATGATAATAAGGTAGTAACAATCAAAACATTTAAACAGCTAAATATTTTAAGCCCACACTAAATTTGAATTCTGTCCAGTTAAAGCTATATCAATTGAAACATATAATACCAGCAAATCTACTGTGATATGAAAATCAATCGGAACGTGACTGGGTCAGTAATTGGGTTATAGGCCGACTAATCATGGCGGTAATACAGTTAACCTGTACTACCGAAGTTTAATTGACATCATGTATATAGAATATGATTATATTTTTCTAATTAACATAATATAATACGTAAGAAAAATGTTTCTTCATATTAACATACCTCAATGATAGAAATAGTATTGTATTGTAATAAAATTCTAACAAAGTTATTAGAATTTCTAATTCGTAATAAAATTATTATGAATTAGCCACTCACCCTCGTCTCGCTCGGGTGTGTCTCTAGGTCCTTAATACGAGTAGTAAACACTAAAGCAACTCAACAGTCAGTTTTTTCGACTTTAATCATATTTTGTTTGATTTCTGACAGTGAACGCATTTTCATCGGGATAAAAAAAGCCTATAGAATTTGTCTGTAATGTAGTTTTCTATAAGAGAAAGAATTTTCAGAATCAGACCAGTTGTTTTATAGATTACCCCTGCATACAAACTTACGAATAGTATTATTAATATTTATAATATTAACATTATTATGGTTCATATTCATAAACCTCGGTACTCAATACTGCAATACCGGTATATCAGCCATCACAGGCCTAAGCTTATTGTATATGAGTGTTATTATAATTATTATTGTAGATAAACACTAATATATCTGTTTAAAATAACTTATCGATATGTAGCTTAAAGGAACACTTACTTCTCAATAAAATATCTGAACTACTACCGAGCTTAGAGCTTTGATATTTCATCGTGCATCTAACAATAGATGTTTTCTGCAAAACGGAATTGTACTATTATTACTGGATGTTTATTTAAACACTAGCCTGTTAGCGATTTCCGTTTCTTTTAAAGTTTATATTTTGCTTATAATGTTACGACTACTAACTGACACATTATGTGTATGCACATTATTGTAGTTATACTGTTAAAATTATAAAATGAATAATTTAATGTAATATATCACGTAACGGCATGAAATTTGTACAATTTGTATTTATGCTATGTATTATCTCAGCTTGTGACAATTTAAATGAACACCTTTCGAGTTGAGAACGATTTAATAGAGTTCAAACTAAGTTCATATGTCGTGTAGAAAATGTATATAAATAGTGAAGCGAAAAAAAATGTTTTTTTTTCTTAGCTTGGTTGTTTTTATAAGCTACAAATACTACCCGTATTTGTAGCTTATAAAAAACAAAAAAAATTTTTATTCAACATTTTGAGGTGGCCCACTGATTTTTAAAATAAATAATTAATTTATTTTTTTGGTTTGAATGGTTTTTTTTTCGACAGATTATTTTTGAAACATTCAAGAATTGACGAATATAGTCATTTTCTACCCAACTTTCACTGTAATATTGTATTATAGCAATTAAAAAAAAGTTTTTTTTAGACTACAAATTCTACCCCCAAGCTAATAATAATAAAAAAAATTCGCTCCACCCTAATAAATAGTGTGATTAATCGAAGATCATGTATGTGGGTGGCTATGAGTAATGAGAGTCAAAAGCACAACTAGATATTTTGTTAGATACTTACTGTATACAATTACAGTATTAAATATAATTTTACATGACTAACATTCAAAACACTAGTTTTAATTAGGCATATTATTTTATGTGTCGCTACTTTATACGTAACTATGAAAATGATGATATTTTTTCATATATTTGTCTTGAACTAATGTCTATTAAATATGAACTATTTAATAGACGTTACTCTCCTTCCAATAATTGAAACATCTTATATACACATATAACAAAAATGGTAAAACAAAACAATAACAAGCTTAAATGATGATATTTTTTTAAAAACTCACGCAAGGATTTTTAATCACAGTGACACGCTCTCAGATTTTAACAGTGACTAGTAACTAAATAGCAATACTACAAAAATAGTATACGTGCCGATGTAATTTGAATTAAGTGAGAATTTCCTATGGTCAAGTGGACGTCAAGTAAGTAATGAATATGTATGAATGCACAGTAATGGAACTAAGGCACACTAAGAATGTAGTGTAAATTCCTGCAAAATATGTATAAAGCCTCTAATATGAATAAGTTTTTAATAAGAATATTGTTTTTTTAATCTTAAACGGTATGATAATGGTTAATCGTAAATTTTTTATCATCCCTATTTATTGTCTTATAAATTTTAGACATTTTTTTTTAAGTAAATAGATAATAGAGGAAGGGTAACTGTTTCTAAATGAATCTTAAAGCGGCCGATGCAGTCGTAGTTTCCTCATTAGGTACTTTAACCACTAAAAACTTTGAAATGCATGTTTAAGTTGAACCTCTATCGCTGCTTGTTAATATAGCGAGCGCATTAACAAATAAAAGTCTGAAACACAAATGAAAGTGTTGTTATGTCTCTACAGAACGTCGTAACGTTAGGCACACTCGGCTGCCTCGCGATGCGACTAAAGCACGCTTACATTAACAAATTTCAGATGTTTGTAAGCAAAACGGATTCTTACCGAAGATTCGCTTTACCTTATTCGACTTAAATTGAATTAATATTCTGTACTCAGTTCCGCTTCAGTTGTTTTTAAGCGGTTCATATGAACTTATAATTTATTATTACTTTGAATATATGGGTTCCAGCAAGAAATAAGGTCTTATTTCATTTATTTAATAGTAAAGACCATAAAAGAATAAAGTGTTAGACACTTATAAACTTATAAAATAAGTGTACACCCATTTACGTTCGATGTCGTGAATAGAACTAATAATAGTAGAACTAGAAAACCGGAGATATTGACTCCATCGTAACACATCCGGTGCACCAGCTTTGCGGATGTCGATACGGCGACCAACACGCCATCTCGAACGAACCGAAAATATAGAAAAATGACTATTTTTATCCCACGCTTCTTATAAGCCTGAGTCAGTATTATCATTTTAAAATTATCTTTTAGGATGGAAACGATATTTTTGTACAGAACATATACTTTTTACTCTGATTTGTTTTATTGTTACTGTATCCACAAAAAATAACTAATTAAATAACTTTATCCAATAACTTACTAACATTAGTGATATCTTTCTAACGAAAACAAAATAATGACCATGCTATAATCCCCATTGCACACGATAGGTAACGTAAACCGGCGACCTTTTAGAAGGCACCATTAAACAGAATATTGGATATTGAAATGCGTACGCAAGGTTCTAAGCCAATTAGTTGGTCATTTTTGCAGTGGCACGGTCGCATTCACGGGTACCGGCTAAGCTGGAATAAGCCGGTTACACCCGCTACGAAATCTAATTAAAGGACACTGTGTTCGTCCGAAATGCTGACAGTTGCCATTTTCCACGTTTTTTTCCTCCA